CCTGGGGTATGGTCGCAGCAACCCCGCTCTAGGGGACCAGGCCGGAGTAGGGTTCAAAGGAAGAGACTTCAATGCTAAACCTAAGGTACAGGAGTAATACTCTGGTCTTTATATACTGTGGGCGCTTAGGGGCCGATCGGGCCCGCTGAGGGTCGATCAGAAGGGAGCAGGGGATGTCTCTGGTCGTCCCTGGTCGCTCCGCTAGGAGCCCAGGGACCATTCCTCTGGAAAGGAGCCATGCCAATGTCGACACTAAGGAGTGTTTGACAATGCAACAGTAAGGAGCTCCCTCCTGGACCCTGTGGTTGTCTAGGGCCGATTGGGCCCGCTGTCAAGGGCGTCCGGCGGCGCATCATGATCCCTGATGGCGGGTCATGATGGCTTGATGGCTGACTAAAGCGTGATCCGTGATTATGTCCCTTCTCTGGGATATTAGTGTTGTTGCTCATTGCTTTGAGCTTGTGAATTATGAGGGCTTGTCAAGCCCTAGGGCTCTAAGGGTGGTGAGGGCCCGATGGGCCGTATAGGGCCCGTTGGCCCGACCCGAACCCTGACATCACCCCCCCACTAGGCGAAACTCGTCCCGAGTTTTATCGTCCGATTTCCGTATTCAATTCCGATTTGTTGAGAAAAAAATTTCGTCATTTGCATGTAGATGCCTTCTCGTCGAAGGGCTTAGTCGATTCCTCTCTCGCGTCCAGGCCCCAGTCGCGTCCTCCCAAAGGATGATCAGACATCCTGACGCTCTCCTGGGTCTCCCCCGTTCCCCGTTCCTGGCCGAAGCGGAGGTGGTCGTACACCCCATCCGGTCCAGGCGCTGCGCCCAACCTCCCAGCACTCCTCCCCATCGCCTGTTTCCCCAGGCACGCCCTTGCAAGGGATGATCCGACATCCGGACGCTTCTGAGTCTCCCCCGTATCCCGTTCTTGGTCGCAGAGGAGGCGGTCGTACACCCCATGCGGTCCAAGCGCTGCTCCAAACCTCCCAGCACTCCTCCCCATCGTCTGTTGTCAAGTTGGGCTCGGCGACGGCTCGACGCGTCCTTCTCGGTCACGTGCTTCCCACGTGTGCGTTCCTCCTCTACTGGGGCACCTGTTCCCTGTCATCACGTGCTGCGTGTTGCGGGCCCGCAATGGCCCGACACCAGCATCAGAGCGGACAGGCTGGGTCTTATCCATGACATCACCCCCTCCATAGGAACGACTCATCTCGAGTCGGCGTGGCTCGGTCGCCCCGGTTTCTCGGGGTGTTTTGTTGTTCACATTTTCCGAACACTGGCTTCTAGTTGCATGCTGAGCACCGGCTGCGCGTTTTTAGACCATTCGTAGCTTCTCCCGTTTGCGTGATGTCAGCCCGGTCCGGTCCAGTGCGTCCGCGCGTTTGCCATGTTCAGTCTCGTTGCCAGTCGAAGCCCAGAGGCGATGGGGTCGTTATGACGACGCCTAGCCATCCCTCTGTCCAGCCTCCAGTTTTGGGGTGTTATTGTCCCCGGTTTTTTGCTGCCAGTGTGCAGCCACCCCGTTCCAGGGGTCATCGTTGTTTCTTCGTATATGCAGATTTGGCCCGTCAGTTCGTCGGGGCCCGTCAGGCCGATTCGGGCCGATGTGGGCCGAATCGGGCCGATTCACGTCATCGATCCCATCATCTTAGTCGTATGAGGGTTTGAACATCAATTCGCACGGTTTTGGGTTTGTCTGGTTGAAGGCCAGCACCTTTGAACGAAATTTCCCACGGTTGGGAAATGGGTCACGTTTCGGGCACACGGGACGGGTCTCTTGCTAGTGAAAAGAGCCTGGGTCTGCTTCTTCCCCCAGCGCTCCCAGAGTGGTTTTCCACTCTCCTTGGCTGCTATAGAGGTTGGGACGGACTCAACGTTTCCCGTGCCTCAAGCGCCGTTCACCGGAGTGGACGCCCCATGGCAGATAGAAGTTGCGGCCCAGAAGTCGACATCTGGGGGAGCCGATATTCCTTACCTCGGCGCCAGGGTACGAGAATTCGAAAGAAGAGGGTATAGAGAAAGAATTTGCCAAGTAGGGGCGAAAGAAACAAAGGTTTGTGTTCGGACCAACGGGTCATCGGGCCCGTAGATTGACAGGACAGACTTCGAGTCGGGCCGCGCAAGGTCTCTCTTAAGAATGCACCCCCAGAACAGAACAGACGGATCGTCGGGCCCGCGAGTATGGCGAGCGGGGTAGATTTGAACCGAAAGGGCCCGTTAATTCGGTCCCTTGTCGTTGTCGGTGATCGAAGGTTCGAATCGGGTCGTTTCGTCTTGTCGTTAGGCGCAGAAGGTATGGAAGAACTCCTTAACCGGAGTGGACAAGTGGAGCAGGTTTTGACCTGTTCCCAGGAGTTTTAATGCGAAGGGGCGGACTCCTCAACCCATAAGACGAATGGAGCAAAAGTTGTTGGCTCCCAGGAGTTTCAAGACGAAAGGGATAACTCCTCAACCCATTGGACGAAGTGCCGACACATAGAGTGGTCGTTCAGCACAGAAAGGATGCTCCAAGAACTTGAGCTTTCCAGAGAGCGCCCCACACTTGAAAGAAGGACAGTAAAGGAGGTTTAGCATTCTGTCAGGAACGGGGCCGGCCCGGGCCCACGTGACGGTCTCCTGCCAGTCTGACAAGTGTGGGAAAGATGGTTCAACCCCCATAGCTGGGTGGTCGGCAACCAGGCAGCGTAGATGGTGCCACTGCTGCAATAGAGAGCAGGGTAGGGACAACTCGGGGCGACTCGAGACGCCCCGCTGTCACGTTGTGTGACAGCGGTGTCACAGGATACGAGTAGTCGTCTAGAGTTTCCTACCCCTGCTGAAGGGAACGAGTCCATAGCCAAAGAGTGCTGCCTAGTAGAGTTGGTGCCCAAGACATAGGGCAAGGCATAGGCTGGGCCAGTTGAACAAGCCGTTCGGGCGGGGCGTGACGTAACGCGGTCACGCCCGACGGTTCGGGGGGTCGAGGGGAGTCGCCCCGCAACAGGGGCTGCGGGCCCGAGACCCCTGGAGCGCTTGAGAAGGGTTGCCAGTCCAAGGGGCGACATATCTCCTTTCCTGGAGCAACGAGTCGCTGTGGCTCCTAGACACCGCGTGACATGCGGGCCCGATCGGGCCCGCACCCTCCCATCGCCCCGTACCAGGGGAACCCAGAGCTTGAGGCCAGAGAGCAGGAAGAAGTGGCTAGGACAAGGGTGAACATAAGAGACAAGAGCCTGAGCTGTCCAGCCCAACCAAGGGCTCAGGTCAATGAGGCAAGCTAGCCTGGAGTGTTGGAAGTCGTCTAGACGCCCCTTTCCTGGGGTATGGTCGCAGCAACCCCGCTCTAGGGGACCAGGCCGGAGTAGGGTTCAAAGGAAGAGACTTCAATGCTAAACCTAAGGTACAGGAGTAATACTCTGGTCTTTATATACTGTGGGCGCTAGGGGCCGATCGGGCCCGCTGAGGGTCGATCAGAAGGGAGCAGGGGATGTCTCTGGTCGTCCCTGGTCGCTCCGCTAGGAGCCCAGGGACCATTCCTCTGGAAAGGAGCCATGCCAATGTCGACACTAAGGAGTGTTTGACAATGCAACAGTAAGGAGCTCCCTCCTGGACCCTGTGGTTGTCTAGGGCCGATTGGGCCCGCTGTCAAGGGCGTCCGGCGGCGCATCATGATCCCTGATGGCGGGTCATGATGGCTTGATGGCTGACTAAAGCGTGATCCGTGATTATGTCCCTTCTCTGGGATATTAGTGTTGTTGCTCATTGCTTTGAGCTTGTGAATTATGAGGGCTTGTCAAGCCCTAGGGCTCTAAGGGTGGTGAGGGCCCGATGGGCCGTATAGGGCCCGTTGGCCCGACCCGAACCCTGACACCGCATCTGTCTCGGCATCTGACGCTACTGCTTGAGAAGAATCAGCTATCACAGTGGGGGAAAGATCCAGCCACAGTACCATTCTTTGCGCGCTTCCTGACAGGTTTGACGTGCTTGCTTGATTCCTCCTCAGAGTCAGAGCCGTCAATAGAGATTGGCTTGTTGGGGGACTCATCAGCACGATGAGGAGCACGTCGCTTACGCGATGCGTTGTCGGGAAGTACGAGAGAGGAGTCGGGAACGTCCCTCTCACGTCGCGCAGGAGCGGGAGACATAAGAGAAGCTGAGAGAAGCTGAGAGAAAATTCCTGAGGCAGTGCAAACAGAAGCGCGGATTGATTCCGTGATTTGACTAATTTCGGCTTGGTCACTCCCGGCAGGGCTGCCGAGTGCAGGGCTTGGAGGGCCCAAGCCCGGGGCCGAGGGCTTCCGTGACCCAAAGCCCTGGCCCCAAGCCCTGACAAGCCCTCCCGAGGGCCGGGCTTGGGCCGGGCCTGAGAGGGCCGGGCCGGGCAGGGCTCGAGGGCTCGGGCCCGGCCCTAGTCAACACTATTCAAAACTAACACGTGTGACGTGTTTCGTCAAACCCGTTTCGAAACCACCATTACTCATAGCACCCTAAGTTGGAGCCCTAATCGCACACTCACACTATTAAATGGGCTATACATACTCCGTTGCAAATCCCACGCCGGCCGCCGTGCCGCGCCTGATAGCCAGGACACCGTAAATTTGATTGTTGATGCAAAAAGCTCTGCCCGGGACAAGCCATGCTGGAAGGGCATCGGGTCCGCCGCACCCTCAACAGCTACATGCAAGGCGACAGGCAGAGGCAGGGAAGTTGGGCTCCGCGGCGAAGCGCCTGGACACAGTGGCGTCCTGTGCTGGGAGCCCATGCCAATACTAGTGGTGACACAGAGAATGACCACAGTAACGCCAGCGGCCACGGCCTCGAGGACTGTGCCTGGTCCACACGCTCAGTTGTCCCACTAAAGCAAGAAGCTGCCTGCGGCGCGCGTTGGGCCCAGGCGTTGGCATCACCCGGTGGTGACAGCGGCATTACGTGTGCGTTACGTGACGACGTGAGTCACTGGTCACGTAACGCCGCTGCTCTTCTTTTCCTCCCACCACCACTTCTTTTCTTTTTCGTCCCGCACATGGCTGATAGAGACACACTGACGCTGCGCCGCCGCCCGGCCGTTGTCTTGCGGGGCTCTGGACCCGGGCCCTCGTCGCCCGCAGCGGCAGGGACCTCGACAAGAGCAGGGGCGGGGACAGGCAGCGGCAGCGGCAGCGGCAGGGAGAGTGGGACCCCGCTGGTATGTGGGGCGCCGAGGAGGGGGATAAGGGACGAGCAGAGGACGTGGCGGGTGCATATACTGCCTGAAGAAGAGCATACCCTCCCATCGATTAGGCAGATGTCGACGGGGTGTGGGGCGGTGGTGCATAGCGGGGCGACGGTGGTTCCTCGTGCGCCGAGGGTGGGGCCGAGTAGGCGCGGGGTGGGTAGAGCGAGTGGTCGCAGGGTAGGCGATAATGCGGATGAGACCGAGACGGAAAGGGACCGAGACGGGCAAAAGGAAAGCCAGGAGGAGGAGACGATATGGGCGGCGCAAAGTGGGGTGCTGGGCCCCGCAGTGGTCACGCTGGACGACGCGTATCATACACTTGCGATGGGTGCGATGATGGTGCGGGGCACAGTCAGCGGGGGCGTGAGGTGTGGGTGTGTTTCGCGGGGGCTTGGGTGCGCCATCTGGTGCGTTACCATCGCTTTTGCTTTAGCAATTGGTGCTGAATGGTGCTAGTGGGAACGCACTTGGCGTTGAGAGGATATTCTGCGCTACCCACAGCGGTCCACGGACGTCTTGCGTCTTTCTCGGCAGCAGGGTCTCTCCAGCACCTCTTTCCATGTCCATATTCACATCCACTTCCCTCCCCGATCTTCACACAAACACCGCTTCTCTACCATCCACTGTCCCCGCCTCGCCCACCGTCCTCGCTCCTGCTCCAGCAGTCCCCGGACCGTCTCCACCCCCGCCAGTAGACTACTCCGACATGCCCGACCTCGATGATGTGAGCAACAGCTCTGACGACGACGCGGCGGGCCCCGGCTCTGACGCGGCAGACACAGATGTTGAGGAGCGGGACGAAGAGCGCATGATCCTCGCGCGCGCAGAGGCGAATTTGAGGCGGGCATTAGATGCCCCGGCCCCCACGGCCATACCGGAGATTCCTGGCGCGAGGGCAGCGTTGATGGGGGTGATGGGGAGGCTGCAAGGGGAGATCGAGGGGCTTGCACAACAGGCAAGGCAGGACCCAACGGAGGGGGAGACTGCAGAAGAAGGGCCAGGAGCTGAGCAGCAGCAGCAGCAAGAGCAACAAAACGAGGACCGAATACGGGCCGAAGTGCAAGAAGAGGAGACGCAGCCACTCCTCGTAAACGCGCAGTTTCCAAACCAGGAAACGGACGACGTCCTTGAGCGCATGATGGAGCTAATGGAGCGCTCACGGCTTGACCCAGCGTCGGACGCCGCGCCTGCCCCGGTTCAGGCTCCACGCAGACAGCCGACGTTGAGGACAGAGGAGAGCGTCATGGAGTACTTCGGGGCGCGGCGAACTGAGCAAGGCGAGCCAGCAGCTAGCAGGACATCTAGCTTCTTCAGGAACATTTTGAATACCCCGACCCCACCGTCGCCCAGCGAAAGCGCGGGCACCGCCGGGATCGTGTACCCCACGTCACCGCTCGGGGCGGACCGGACGGCGTTCGTGCCCGGGGAGCCCGAGGCGCCGTCGCCGGCGATGTTCAGGGACCTGCACATGCAGATCGACGCGACGATAATGCGTCTGGAGGCGGCCCGGGAGCGAAGCGCGGCCGTCCGGGCGAACCTGGTGGCGGAATGGGCAGAGGTGGACCGGGGGGCGGAAGAACGCTTGAGGGAGCTGTTGGTCAGGGCCCAGGTGGTTAATCTGGCGGGTACCGGCAACAACAGCACCGGTGCGTTGGACCCACAACCGCTGGCGGCGCTGGGGGGAAGCCAAGCTGTGACGACCCCCACAGCTCCCCCCGTGGCTGCCCGCACCAACCCCGGCGCCTCCGGCCCGATGCCGCGCCTCGACACGGTGGACGCGATGACGCGTGTCCTCAGGGCGGGGAGCCAAATTGGAGACCCGCGCGCAACGGCAGCGGCAGCGCAAGGGCTGGTGAATTTGGAGGTGATCCAGGGCCGGGTGGACGAGATGATGGAGCGTGCGGGGGTGCTGTTGGGCCAGCGGCCGGGGGCGGAGACTGGTGCGGGTGCGGATGCGGATGCGGATGCGGATGCGGATGCGGATGCGGATGCGGATGCGGATGCGGATGCGGATGCGGATGCGGATGCGGATGCGGATGTGCATTTAAACACGGAGGAGGCAGATGCAGCGCGAACCGAGAGGCGGATCGTGTTCGAGCGGTGAAGCGCGTTTTTTGATAGACTCATGGTTTGACCAGGTTACTTAAATCCATGAATGGTTGGTGGAATAACACTGATTTCGCCCAGTTCCACTGAATAACAGCTCGGTGGGACTCGTGCGATCGCATGTGGCAGTTGCAATCCGTCCGGGCGCGTGGCGGCTGGGAAGCAGGGAGCGAAAGTGATGCTTCGCTGGTACACGAATCGACACTGTGGGAGTGTGATTTGCGTTGAACGTAGAAATATCAAAAACCGAGCCGTAGTGGTAATATTTAGGCTAAAAAGCTCTAGCAATAGCTAGAATAGCGGTAGCCTAGAAATCTAGGTATTCCTAGTCTCTATATTTCAGCAGTGTAATTACTATGATATTATTCTTTATTTATTTATTTTCTGCCTTGATATCACCTTAATTTTGATGGGGATGGTGATCCTTGATATATATATTATTGATGTGGAACGATTTTTGATGGCCATCAGTAGTTTTGATCACTGTGTCAAGCTATATCATTTTGGTCCCAATTAGGATAATCCTAAACACAGGCCTTCCCCACTATATACCGGGTCATCGGCCTGAAGAAAAGGAGTTAGCATTACTATATATAGTATTTTTAGCATCAAATCTATCAATTTGATGCATTAATAACCCATTTCTAAAGTCTTTCTTGGCTGGGAAAAGTCTTCCTAGAGTTTTAGGCTACTGCTATTCTAGCTATTCCTAGACCCTAGGCTAAATCTTACACCTACGGGTGAAAAACCGCAGGTCACTCAAGGTCGACACCACATCTCAGGTCATGGAACACTTAGGCGTGTGCACCAGCAGTACTTAACCAAAGTCTCTCTCCCACAAGAAGTAGGCTGTCAGCCTGCTGTCATGTCCCCCGCTGTGTCCAGTACAATGCATCAAGCATGTCACCTGGGGACCCTGGCCTACTATGATCCTCGGCATGTAGCTGGTTGCAATGCAGAGCTCTTAGCCCAGCAGACCTCCCAGTGCGGCTATTCCCTACATTATCATTTTGTTTACACTTGGTTTGATAAAACAGAGGAATTCATAGCCCATTCAATTCAAATAATGCGGATGCAATGGACCTGAACTTTGGTTGAAGTTGGCAATTGCCATTTGCCAGTGATTGGGGGTGGCATCAATGTTGCCCTCTGGTTATCGCATCATCCGCATCTCCCGACGCACTGGCAGTACTTGCATGGCGCACACGTAGCAGACTTGTGATGCCTCTGCCAGCGGGACCGGTATGTAGACGGCGCGTGGATGCCGTAGTGATCGTAACGGGCTGGGTGACCCGTGACGGGCCGTGAGGACGGGCCTCCGCGGGAACGGGTGCGGGCCCGATGCCCAAAACCCGCTGGCCCTCGTACTGGCCCGGCGGGCCCGGCTAACCCGGTGCCGCCAGCAGGCCAATTCTTCGGGCGTCGCGGCTAGGCCCTGCGGGGCCTTTTGCATTCAGATTGCTTGGAAAACCTAATTGAGATACAGCATGTCGACTACACCGTGTACTTTTTCTTCGTTTGTGTACGTTTGCTATAATTGTTTTTCATGATATCACTCTCTTCTCAACAACGACTTGAAGGAGCCGCCGGCGATCATCGCTCAAACACGACCCGCTTCCGGGGCTGCGCCGCGCCCTCATTGATATTGTCATGTGGATTCGGTTCGGGGTCTGGCAGGTGGACTTCAGATTGCGGCTCATCAACCGCGTTGTTCGAGATCTGCGGTGCTTGAGCCGCAAGGACATCTCCGCTCGTCATACCTTCAGCCCGCTCTACTACCCGTGCAGCCCCGCGCTGTACCTCGGTTGCCTGCGCCTGTACCTCCGAGGCTCCGCGCTCCGCCGGCGCCGCTGCCAATGTCTGCGAACGCGTCTGCACCATCTCTGCCAGGAGTGCCCGGCCCGAAGCATCATCGTTAAGACTCTCTGGTTGGGCCAGGAGCTCGTTCGCCGCGGCGATAGCGGCAGCAGCGTCGCGGGCTGCCCGCGCCGGGCTCCGGCGTGGCCGGCCGGATCTCGAAAAAGTCTTCCGTGACTGGCCAAGATTTGTTGACTTGCACGAGCAAACAGATATAATGACGCACCGGTGATGTGGAGAACCTCGCGGCGGCGGGCGGCATCTACAAACGCGGGTTGATGCAGCGCCGCGAAAATGAGCGGGCCACTCGGGACCGTGGGGACTCCGGCCGGGCCGGCGGCGTGGCGTCCGCTCCACCGCTGCCTTCTCTTTCGCTTGCTTCCACGCTAGCGTGCTCCGCCTGTAAGCGCTCCCGCCTGAGTCCCTCCATTTCCTCCTGTATCGTCCGGATGGTCTCAAGCAGCGCCGCCTGTGTCTGCAGCACATTCCAAGGGGGGTTCAAGATCCGAATCACGGATATAGGGTAGGAAAGTTTTTTTCCGACCCTCCGGGGACCCGCCCCTCCCCCCCCTCCTGCCATATAGGGTAATATGTTCCCACGATTAGCATCTGACCACTGATACGATCAAAAATTGGCATAAAAAATTTAATCTTTGTGAAACTTTTTTTTTTCAAAAAAATTTATATATTTGTATATGTATGTGTGTAGGCATCTATATACCTGGAACCCTTAAATACACATGGCAGGCCATATCACTGTTCAATATGTTTACCTCTCATCCATTACCTGATGATGGGCCTGTGATAGGGTGTACTATCCAGGCGCATGGGCCTGAAAGTATATAGATATAAGTATGGGGGTTGTGAACTATAGGAATGAGAGTGTATACACTATATTTTCAGTGTCTTTACACCTATATAAGCCCCAAATCTTTTATATATAAAAAGTTTTTTTTACCCCCCCGGGACCCCCCCCCCTCCCCCCGGGCACCACAAAGTGCCAGCGAGTGCCGTGTAGGACCGTGGGAGTGCCGAGTGCCGAGTCGAACTGCTGTGGCAGTGCCAATTGGGTATATTTCATGTCAATAAGCTTCTTGCTATCTGTCTTAGCTTATATCTACTCTTACAATCTTATAATTTTAACAAAAAGTCCATATCTGAGTTCTATTTTAGATATAGGAGACTGAAATACACTTGATTTGGGTCAGAGTCTGCATAATTGAAGAGTCTAGCTGTAATTTCAAGCCACACTGGTATTTTCAAACAAGATAAACATCTCTTGAAACTTGGTCAGACTCGGTCATATGATGGAAGTACACGCTATTACACGGTACTACACGGCACTTCCGTGCTTGAGTGCCGTTTCATGCGGCAGTTGCACAGCATGGCCACGGCAGTTGCACGGTGCATGCACGGCACTTTCACGGCACTCTGTCACAGCCCTCTCGGCACTACCCAGCCCACACATACTCATTTCCTCTGTTACGTTTAGTACAGATACCGTAAGATTTGTAATACATAGCACAAGATCGGCCATTTTCCAGCGCTGGATATATTATTAAGAGCCCAAATGGATTGGGAGGTATATAGTGGCCTCTAACTTACCCAAATTCACATTGACATCGAATCCATGGCATCCCAGGCGCTCAAGCTTGAGTCGACTCCGCAGCTTTGGCACCATTCGTCATCGTGAGACAGATCGGCTGTGGCTGTGATCATCGCGGCTCTTATTTCCCATCCACCACCATCGGCACAGAGTTCGCTCTTTCCTTCGCCCGTTGCTCCTTTCTTGCGACACTAGGTGTCCATCGGCACAGAGAGCCACTCTCAACGTGTCTGCTCGTAAGCAGTACAGTCGATGACGTGGCACTCGGGACTGACAATAGGACACTCAGTACTTCTGTCGTGTTCTCGGCTCGGCTCGGCGCTCTCTCTCGTCACTCGATTGCCCACCAGTGGCAGCTCGCTGCTGGTTTTCAATGGCGGAGCCACTCCTTATCGCATTAGCAGTGTCAAATGCTGCCTTCGTGTTGCTCGTTGGTCTTGCCTATGGGAGGACAATTCAGCGCTGGGCCTCCGTCTGCTACAGTTACTGCGAAAATATAAGCAGCTTCCTGTTTAGGTAGTTTGTGATGATGTGACTGATTTTGAGTGATGCTCAGTGTGAACGACCTCTTCACCTTAACCACCGTGTTCGTTCACGCGTTATCGCGTTTGTTGACGCGCCCACACATCATGGCTGGCTTCTTATTCAACACCGCCTCCGCCACATCCAGTATATAAGCCACCAACGGCTTTGCACCCGCCCCACCACTCTCCACAATGCCGCCTCCCCATGCTCCCTCACAGCGCAAGCCTTTCACGCCTATCCAGCGTGTCATCGCCCAAACTATGCGAAACAGTACGCAATTCACACCTATTTTTCCTTTCCTCGGCGTATCCAAGCTCTCAAAGACAATAATTTTTACTGGATTGACTACTAGTACTTACTTACTACACTATACATACTGTAGCATACTTCTCTTACATCTAGTTCACTGTATCTCTTGAAAAATTGAAAATTGCGCGCATTTTGATGGTATTTTGGCTGGTGGGAATTGTGACTACCTAAACAGGAAGCTGCTTATATTTTCGCAGTAACTGTATGAGGCAATCTCCACCCTCGTATCCAGCCAGCTCATTCTCGGCCTCTACGCACTCGTTCTAATCTATATCTTGCTCAGTCTCCGAAGCCTGAAGGACGACGTTGCGCAGGTCGCGCAGGCTACCACAAGGCCAACCCGCCGTAAGCATGCCAGACCGCAACCGGTCTACGATGCGAACGGTGTGTTGGGTACCCTATCCATGCCTTTCAAGCACTAAGTGAATCGCAGACCGCCTCATAGGCTACTTTCGGGGAGACCGAAAATCCGACATCACATTCAGGAATATCGGTAAGACTTCATTCGTGTACCTCATTGTACGTTGCTGAGTATACTAGGACGTGCAACAACCGACTCTGTCTTGGATGGAGCCGCCTCGGCACCAACATCACCCGAATCTCGCCCAGCCCCAGCCGCAGTCTCCCCACCCTCACCTATCATATTCCAGCCACCGCAAGTCCATGTCTATCGCTCTCTCCAGGCTTCCGAGTGGAACGGCTAGCCCGACGGACATCTCCGATGCCAAATTCAACGTCAAGAGCTCAAGGAGACAGGGAATCTTGCGCTGTTCTGGGTGAGCAAAGCGATAGCGGGCCGCCGACCTGGCTCTCCGGACGCGCTAAAGCCGGAGGGAGGGAAACAATTCCGTGTCAACTGCCTTGGCGCGTTTCGCTGCTCGTCGCCTCGCTGCCCTCATGCCCTCACCGTCGCCCCGTTCCTCCCCTCCGTCACGGCTCTCGACATTCCACATTGCGATGTCTCTGTGGACATCCCCTTGCCCAACGCTCATGTGGTATCGAGATGGGCGCTTCCGTCTTCCGATACGGCGTTGTCTTCACACATCACGGCACTCACAGTCACGACCGTTACAGCCACAGGTTGCAGTCAGTATCGGGAACGGCGACTGGCCTGGTCGAACTGACCACCCGACGAATGGTCCTCGCTGTTGCCAGATACTTTCTCGGTTGACACTGGTACATTTACTCTCAAATCCTTGACTGCAGTGCTGAAGCGAACACTAGATTCAAGTCCAGCGAGTGCGGACGTGTCTTCTCCAGTGGTGGATGTCAACGCAAAGGCTATGTCTGACGCTCCAGATGAGTTGGATGAAAATGAACAGCAAGAGATAGATGATGACCCGCACGCTAATGATAGTGAACTAGAAGCTTAGGCCTCCCTCTTGTAGTTTGAGCAAGACAATTCTCTTTTGCTGGTGCCTGATTTTCCTGTGCGGCCGGAACTCATCACCGACGATCCTCGATCACCTCGACAATGATGGTTTTTTTCCCTTTCCTTTTCTCTCCGCTTTGTCTGTCTGCTTGATTGAATGGAGCTCCTGGTGTGTAACAGGCCTATTGCAAGTTTCTTGTGCTAACTGCGCCAGAAAACATTCCGAAGATTCTTTCGCTTTGGTCTGTCACCTTCACGCAAGCGCAAGCGCCGCAATCTGGACACCGACAGTGAATCTGGGGAGTCAGATATCTCTGGCACACAGTATCGAGGTCTTCCGCTCTGTGCGTTCGCTAACCACGTTCCTTTTCCTGCGTGTATTCTAACTTCCCTAGCTGACGAACATGACTTGGCGGGGCTAAATGCACGCGCATTGCTAGACGAGGATGGCAATGTCGTTGCCTTTTGCACGTCTGACCCGGATGCTCACACGACAACATCGAAGCCTCTCTCTCATCCGGCGCAGGCTAATAATACACGGTCAACAATCCCTCCTGCCGCTCCTCAATCAACGTCAACTACCACCACTGCCGCTGGCCGTCCTATTGCTGCTCCCGTCAATATTCTGGCAAAACAATTGACTACACCTGCAGGAGAAACATCTCAATCGGCTCAACTCGACCAATTAGCACAAGAGAACGATTGGGACTTTTGGCCCGATGGAGATTGGTCGAAGACATACCCACTTGCGATGGTCACTGAGTTAAAAATGAGGGTGAACTGGGCCTTCGAGACGGAAGGGGGAAGTAAGGGGTCGACATTTGCAGTGGATTATCGTGGCGGCAAGATCACGAAACGCCGCTGCCTTGGGTACATTCGCTGCACCAATGATCAATGCCAGATCATCGAACGTCCGCACACGAAGGAGAAATTTCGACGAAATCAAGTACAGAAACTCTGCAGCTGTGGCGCTTCACGAAACCGTGTCCCATGTGGGGTAGTATCCAAGTACTGGGTCTATGCCGGTGGAGTTCACTACGAAAACGGGCGGTACACACTCCCATCCGAAGCCACCCAACATTAAACGACTCACACCGGGCGAAAGCCGCCAGCTCGAAACGATTATCCGGCAACATCCTACTGCGGGACCGGCGGAACTCTTGACGGGAGCGGCAGCTGTCGGTGGGCCAGGACCGTCGGTAGCCCAAATCAATCCCGCACTCCTCAATCCTCATCGCATTCGATACAAGCGGGGCAAGGTCATCCGGCCGAGCATCAAAACCTCAGATCAACAATTCGAGCCAGCCATCGCTGCTTTCCAAAAGGCCCATCCTGATTGGACTGTTGCCGTTTACTACCATGGGAAGCTACGAGTCATTGTCCTGCAATCCCCCTTCATGCGCAAATGCTCAGTCAAGGACAAAATCGACACGGAAGCGATCAACGGCACAGTTTCGGATGCGGCACATAATTATTTTCGTGGCAAAAATGACCTGATTTTTGTCAGCTCGACCTTCGAGCCCGAGTTTCTCAAGTGTTGGGTACCCGTTGTGATGTCTTATTCGAATGGGGCAACGGCTGAGCACTACGCGATTCATTTTCGCCACTTGATTGAAGGTATTGCCAAGGAATATAAAATTCGGTGCCCCGGCACACCATTTACAGACACTCTTTTGGCCAATGTATGTGACATTTCATTCTATCGAAACGCTCACAGGACGGAAATTGTTACAGGTGGTCGATTTCAGTGACGCGCAACGAAATGGGTTCATTCGCGCGCGTATGTGGAATGGAAAATGGATGATCCGAAGAACACCGAAACGCCCGAAGCCCTTCAGATGGCTGCCGAAGCGCTGCTCAAAGGCTGCGAAGCGTCATTTCAAGGAACAAATCTCACGAGTCAGCAAGATAACTCGGATTGTGCCGCCAAATCAACGCCTTATCTTCGAAAATCGTGTTCAGGAGCTGCTGTACTGCAAGACTTTGGACGCATTTCATGCTGTCGCCGCTCGGCTAATCCAAGACTTCCCCCTGATCGAACCCTGGCTATCGTGGTGGCTACGTCCGCAACATGCTTCCATGATTTTTCGGGCTGAGATGGCCATGGACACGGACTTGTTTTACTCATTACCCGCCACGACCAACGCGGAAGAGGCGATGCATCATCGTCTCTACTCGATGGTCAAGCGTCTGAACAGTCTATTCGAGGGCTTGGAAGGCCTCGTGAGCGCCGGCAATACTTTTGCAGACCAATATATGCATGCTAAGCCTAAAATCCGTGATTTATCCTGCTAAGCATTGCTGATTCACGCGTAGACGGAGACCGCCGTCATCTGGTTCCTCTTCTGTACCATGGTCAACTTGTCCGACGCACAGCAGACTTACCGCGTGTTGATGGTCAACCTCCACGAAAGAAGGTTCGTTTTGACACCCATAGAGACGACAGGCATGCCTCCACTGGCACATCTATCAGAAGTCCCATCTCCGTCGCAGCACAAAGCGATCGTGCAGTGCCGAGCAGTACTTCTCACCGCAGCACACTGAACCCAACCTCCCCACATCGCACTCGTGCTCGAACGCGGTCGGAACCAGCCTCAAATCACTCGAGACACACTCTCAAGCGTCGCAAGGTGGTAGCCGAGGGCAGAGGGTGGTACACCTATGAAGAGTCTGCATCGTTTGGCTTAGAAGCCTCAGATTCAGTGCCATTCAACTCAGAAGATAATGATGGTTAAAATTGTTGTTATTCATTTACACTATTATGCTACTAGTACTTGATTCCTATTTATGAGAGTGATGTGTGGCAGTATGACACATTCGGCACTTTATCTGTTACACTCGGCACTTTATCTGTCACACACACGGCACGTGTGACAGCACGGCACTTTTGCTGTCACAGCCGAAAAGCACACGGCACTTGCACGGTTCGAACACGGCACCTACACGGCACCAACACGGTATCTACTCGGCCTACTCGGCCAATTAGCGTAGCCGCCCTCCCCCCTACTCCATATGCCTGATAAGGATCTTGAACCCCCCCTTGGCACATTCGGCACCGCCGCCTCCGGGATTATCGGCATCACGTCATCGAACGAGACCTAGTTTTCAAGTTCGCGGTCCATCTCCTCCCGCCGCCGGTCCCTGATCGCATCTGCCGCGTCTTCATCATAAGGCTCATAATGGAACCAGCCGTCGTCGGAACTTGAATCGGAGCTGGGTTCCTCTGCGCTGGACTCCGAGCTGTCGTCGGCGCCGGCGAGGTCGGGATTGGGCTCTGGCAGGTCGTGCAGTGATGGCTGGGTGGGGAGTGGCGAGACTGCGCCATGAAGGAAGACATAGGATCTTTTCGGGCCATCCGAGTCGTGCGTTGCACAAAAGATGCGCTCCACACCGAGAGCGTTTCCACTAATGACTCACCGTCGACATCTTCCACAAAGCAGAAAAACGGGCATAACGCACCAGACGGCGCACGCCAAGCCCCGCGAGAGACATCCACACGCGCTTTGAGTGTCCGCGTTGCTCCCTTGAACGTGGCCAGCAATCAACATGCGTAGGGCCGGCGTGAAGTACGCCGCATCGAGGGTCACCACCGAGCGCGCTAGCTCCCCGCCTTCCGCGCCCCACTCTGACTTCTCTTGTCCTCGTTCGGTTTCGCTGTGGCTCTCGCTATCGATAGACGTGTCTGGCCCACGCCGCATAACCGCCGCCCCGCTGTGTACCGCCGCCCCACACCCAGTCGACGCCGTGGCCAGATTGTCCTCCCCGTCCCCCTTCGCCTCAGGCAGAATCTGCACCCTCCACGCACTCACTGACGTCTTGTCATGCACCATCCGTCTCGGCGCCCCGCAAACCAGCCTTGTAGTCGTCGTGTCTGTCTGAGCGAGCGGCAATAAAGGTGCCGTCGAGGACAAACAGTCATCCGGGACAAGCAATGGGTCTCCGTCGGCCATTTTGGATCGCAGCGCACGGAAAAGGTGGTGAGGGGGAAAAGACGAAGAGTCGCGTGACGTCACGCGAATGTGATGCGCACGTGCGTCAGTCACGAAACTCGAGATGGCAATCACGTCACGCGCTTCCTTCCTTGCCTTCTCCATCATCACTCCCGATCCATGACCTCCACCAGAGACCCCCCGACACTGCCTATCTTCACGCCGGCTGTTTTGCACACCAAGATCTTGTCTTCTCTGACTCGGAGTACCTCGCCAGGGCCAGCGCCGGATGACGTGGCAGATGACGGCGTGCTTCTTCCCACCATGGGCTCGTCGCTCTCACTCTCTATGAGCGGAACCCGCCCCGTGCGCTACGTTGTGAAACTACTACTAGCACGACGGCAGGCTAGGGGCAGCATCACATCTATGATTCATCAAGCACACTGCGCGCCGTGTGTGTCAGGAGGACTCCTGATCTTCACTGGCATGACGGTTGTTCCACTCTGTCTGAGACTGTCTCTAATATCAACGCCGATCTCTTCCGTTGCAGACTCGAGGTCCAGCAGAACGATAAACTTGGGAGGCAACATTGTATCATTGAACACATTCTCGACAATGACAGACACTTAGGAGCCTTTTTCGGCCCTTCTGGCGCTGCGCTCAGTAGAAGAAGTACTTGGCGACATACTTGACCTCAATCGTCGTGTCCGTGCCCGGGACACACTGTGTTCCATTCAACTCAACTATTGCGGACTCGGGCGAAACCACTCACCGAAGTCGGCGGCTGCCCCCCAACGGTGTCCACTCTGAACACCTGGGCCGCAAGCGCATCGAAGTTGGGGATGCCGTTGAGCATCAGCCAGTCGACCGTGACTGCGTCGACCGCGGGCGGCGGGGCGGGGATGTCGCCGACCTTGGCGCCGACGACGAAGGCCGTCTCGTCGCCTTTGAACCGGCCGGTGGACGTGAAGTCCCACTTGGCGTTGATCGCGCCGGGCGTGCCGAGGGGCGACGCGATGAAGTAGTGGAACTGGCGTGGTCACGTTATGCGGCAGCGGGAGGGGCAGAGAGGACTTACCCCGAGGAGGACCGGAACGCCGACTTCGGCCCCGATGTATGTCTGGCTGACGCCAGGCGGGGCGGCAACCCATGCGTCATACGCGCGCGCGGCCACGGTATTGAACGCCTTTTTGTGCGCGATGCAGGAGAGGTCGAACAGCGAGGCGACCGCGCCGATCGACCTGGGGCCAATATCAACACTGCGCGGGAAATTTCGAGTCACAACACTCACGCAAACGTGCCCGCCGCGTTGCACGTGTAGTTCTGAAACCCAACGCCGAGTGCGACGAAGAGCGGGGCCGTGGCGGGCTGCACGAGCGCGGTCTGGTTGGCCGGGATGTGCATAGAGACAGAGGTGTCGAGCGGGCAGTCGCCCTTCTTCAGCGCGGTGCTGCTTGCGGCGAGTGCATGGAGGGCGAGGAAAACAAGGCTGCTGATCATCTTCATTCTGGGATGGTGCAGTGGGTCTGGTAGTGCGCTAAGCTTTCATTTTATACCTGGGACACAACCTACCTGTGGGCAGAACCTTCACCCGGCCCAATGCGTGCGTACCGGAGCATGCAGAGGCAAACGACAACGCGGGAGGCCTTGCGGGACGCCATCTACTCGCCGAGGCGTCTACGCGTTCACTCGCCACATCGAGCCACAACGTCATCCCGCAACTACTCCGTGCCATGGTGCCTGTGGAGGCCAGCCTAGCAGACGTGCGACGGGAGAAGCACAAAACTCTTAGAAGCACGGGCTCTCGCAGGCTTGGCACCCTCCCTTCACCCTTCGCCGCGCATTCGCCCCGGCCACCGGGCTCGGCGGGCAACGGGACGCGCTTCGTTCGCCGCCTGACGTGGTGTGGAGAAGTGCGTAGCCAGGTCACTCGGCGCTACCTCGCTCAAAAGAAGCCAACGGCCGAAGCACCGGTGACCGCCGGCGGCCCCGCGTACTAGTGCACGTCTACAATTAGCACGGTCTCGCCAGCCCGGCGACGGACCAGAGACGTAATGGCTGCAGGGAACAGATCGCGACGACCACCCAGGGTGGAAATACGGCGGTAGTACGACGAGTTGCCGCTGTGCTCGACGAGTATTGGGTGCGCGAAGACGCGGGCGGCGCTCAGCGTCAGCGTTGCGCCGGACAGGGGCGCCGAAACCGCTTCTGGCCGTCGGTCTTCTCTTCCCGAACTTCCACGTGCAGCCATGTTCCCCTGCCCACCCTCCACCCGCGCTCCCAGCGATCCCAATGACAACAACAACCGAGATGTGGACGAGGCGAGGGAGAGGGCAAGGTGAGGAGAATACATCGATGCGCTGAACGCCAGCACGGCCCAGCAGGAAGATGAACTTGAAGGAAATAGCGCGATTCGGCGGTCATCGTCGCCAATTTGAATGCCGCTGACCCGGTCGGGACGCCCCGCGCAGCACTCCAAGATGGCTTCATCTCGCGGTTTGGGGCTGAGAGGCTACCGGGAGTTGCGCCGAGGACGCTCGTGCAGATGCGGCCTGCGGCAACGTGGCGGAGGGGCCCAGGCTGCCCAGCGCGGGTGGATGTAGAGGGAGCGCACTCTTGCCACCATCGCTCACTTTTTACAATAATTATAAATAAATTGAGATTTCAGGCTAAGTATTAAGATTTGAAGCTATTTACATATACAAATATTGGTGTTCGACGAAATACTGGTAATTGGCGGCGTTCTTGACGCTGTAGGATTGAACTGGTCAGAACACGCGGATACCATCAGTGGAGCGGACTTACGCCTTGTCAGGGTCATTTCTGGCGACGGCCCCGGCCGCGTCGACGGTGGGGAAGCGTACGTCTGTGCCAGCGACGTCGGTGAACTGCGACGCCATCTGCACGAGCACGCCGGGCTGCGAGTTGGCGCGCGTGGGCGGCAGGTTCCAGAAGCCCGCGCAGAGCGTGACCTCCCCCAACTTTTGCGGGTCGACCTGCCCGTAGTACGGCGTCGTGCACGAGCAGTCGTACTACATAGGAGACGGTCAGCAATGCCTTTGTCTGCATAGCACGGCGACGCACCGTATACGATTCGAAGTTGCTGGCGGCCATCCGCTGGAAGTTTTGCCAGACGGCGGTGTGGCGCAGGTGCGTGAACTCGCCGAACCACTTGACGTAGCGTTCCGTGCCGCCGGTGGTCTGGATGTATTCCACCGCTTCGTCGGCGAGGCGCTGGGCGGCAGCAGCGGCGAGAGTGATGGCCTCTTGCTGTTCGCAGGAGCAGGACCGGAAGGAAGCCGCGCCTTGCGATGGGCAGGAGTCTGGGGACTCTGGGAACTCTGGGGGGCCTGGGGGAGCTGGGGGGCCTGAGCAGTCTCCGGACCCGCGCTTCACGAACGGGCCCGCGTCGACGAGCGTGGCGGCTCCGGAGAGGCCCGCGGCGAAGGAGAGCGCGATGAGGATGGTAGCGGCCAACATGATGTAGAGTCGATGACTTCCCTGCAGCTTGACCACAGTGGGGCCTCTGCTTTTATACTGCATTCGGCGGGTGCAGACTGTGCAGTGTGGACTTGTTCGTTTAGGGGTGCATGCCGGCAGATGATCCGGTCAAGTCGTGAATAACGTAGCTCGCTCGGCTAGGCCTGCGGCCCTGAGCAATTGTTGCACACGACATTAGAGCAAGGTTGAAGACGCACGGTGGGCTTTGGGTGCGCTCGCGCGCTACGATGCGTCGTCGATGACGCACCGACTCGTGCCGCCGAAGTCCAGGTCCCATCATGGTAAGTGCTTCCGTGAACTACTCACTTTGCCAGTGCCCAGCGAATCCGTAACAGACGCGACGAACGACGCCTCTTTAGCGCGCCGACGTCCCCGCTGACGACCCGCGTAAAGGTTTGGCATCGGATAATGTGTGTACCCACGGAAGATTCCCTGCCCCCGTGTTTCATCGCCGGGGCCTCATCGCTTGTGCAGCGTATACAAGCCAGGTTGTTTCACCGTCGTCGTCGTGGGTAGAAGAGGAAGAGATCATGATCAGTAACGCGTGACGCCGAGCATGAGCTAGCCGATCGGCTTCCCACGCTGAGTACATTCACAGCCGTGATCAAGGGGCCTGCGCAAGAAAAATCCGAGACATCAGGTCGAAAAAGTGAAACAAGCCCCAGCAGACCCTCCCTACCCTATTGACTAAGCATGACTCAGCCATATGACTTCCAAGAAAGGAAATTATTTGTCATGACAAAATGCAGTTAAATTGGGATACATTTCTACAAATTTTCTTGCAACTATGCCCTAAGGGAGAACTAATTTGTACTCAGCACATCTAAAAGACCCACACAGCAGAGATGATAGGTGATGACATGCTTACATATCATTCTTTGGCATCACACTCATCATCATACTCTCCCAATTGGGAAATTGGCCATCAAATGTGCTGTATTCATTGGTTCCAAGTGCTACAAACAGATAAAATACAGTTATAGTCCTCCTGGACATCCCTGGACCCTCCCTGGATCTTCCCTAGACACAAGTCCAAAAAGTGAAATTTTCACTCAGAGACCCCCCTACCCTATGTCACATGCATGACTCGATGTCTTGGCTCGCTGATCCGCGGGCCCCTTGGCCGTGATATTGTAAGGGCAACCCTGGAGACTCCGACGAAAGCCTAGCAGGGGAGGATCCAAAGCGTGAATAGAAGCTACAGAAATACACGGAGGGACCGACCTAGCAGGGGAGGATCCAAAGAGAAGAAACTCTAAGGGTCCGCCTGCTAGGGCGCCAACTATATACTGGTCGTCCGTAACTGCCGACGTAGAGCGCAGAAGGCCTGAGCGGCGTCGCAGGCTCTGTCCCAAGGTGATCGTTGGGAGGGTCTTGACGGATCGGTGATTGTGCGGGCGAAGGAGGCCGTGGACGATGGTCGGGGTGGGTCGGAGCGTCCGAGGGGGCGCCGGTCGGATGCGCCTCGGATGCGTTCGGAGGGTCCGAAGGAGGCCGAAGCGGGGGTTCCCCTGACATCACCCCCCCCTTTGAATGCGGTGTCCCGACGCATAGTTCGAAAAGGCAAGGAGTCGAAGGTCGCTGAGGCAATGTGCCGTGGTTTACCCGGGTACCTCCGATAGAAGTCCGCAATCTTGTCTGGCGCAAAGACACGGTCGAACCGAACCCACGAGTCGTGTGAAGCATCGTAGCCTTTCCACCTGACGAAATAGTTAAGACGCTTATACCTTATCCTGGCATCCAAGATTTCCTCGACTTCCCATTCGGGGACTCCGTCCTCTAGCTCAGGGGGCGGTTCGTCATAGCCGGGTCGTCCATTGAAGGGGTCGTCCTGGGCGGGCTCGAGCTTAACAACCGGGAAGACGGGGTGGAGCTTGGAGTAACGCGGGGGGAGGTCGAGCTTGTAGGCACCTTTGCTAACTTCTGCGAGCACCTTGAACGGTCCGAGGCGCTTGTGGGAGAACTTCTCGGAGGGCCGAGTCGTTCTAATGTCAGAAGCGTCCAGCCAAACCTTATCACCAACTTGAATATTCGGAGCGTCCGAACGTTTCCGATCGTAGTACCGTTTATACTCGTCTTTGGCTTTAACGAGCGCGGCCTTTGCCTCGGAGACGCCGTTAGCTATCCGGTCGCGAAACTCGTTCACCGACTCCAACGCTGAGCAGGCGCCTGGCTCGAAACCCATTCGGGGGAGCCGACCAGTGTCCGTCATGAAGGGTACCTGTTGAGTGGAGGAGTGAACGTGGTTGTTATAGGCGAACTCAGCAGCAGGGATAAGCTCGTCCCAGTCGTCTTGTTGGTAGTTGGTGAAGATCCGGATGTACTGCTCGAGCTCTTGGTTAACGCGTTCGGTTTGTCCGTCGGTTTGCGGGTGGTAAGCCGTAGAGGTGGCCGGTTTGACGCCAATTAAGCGCCAGAGTTCGCGCGTGAAGTCAGCGATGAACTGCGAACCACGGTCCGAAATGTACTTCTCGGGGGTTCCCTGGTGCCTCCAGACATTCCGATAGTACAACCGGGCGGCTCCGACCGCGTCTATTGTCGTATGGCACTCGGTGAAGTGGGCGCGTTTACCAAGAGCGTCGACCAGCTGGTGCCCCTCTTACAATGCACAAGATATGGGTTATAACCCAAAGGTCCAATGCACAAGACATGGGTTATAGCCCAGGGGAATTTGGAGAAATAATTCCTTGGTTTCATTTTATTCTTTTTTGAGCTGTTTGGTATGATATTAGTGATGGGATTGATGGTCCACACTAAATCTAACCTTTGTTGAACCAGTTTTGCAAGAGATCAATTGTTTTGATGATCACATGATGCTGCATCACTCCTTCTCTAGTTATTATTGATCTCTATTCCCTCCTCTCCTAGGAGCCCAATATTACATCACGAGTCATCGGCCTGAAGAAAAGGTGATTTACAATAACATATACGATGTCACATTAGTCACATTATGCTTTTATAGTATATTTTGGTATATAACCCATGTCTTGCGCATTGGACCGTTGGGTTATAACCTACAACTTGTGCATTGGACCAGCTGCAACAGGTGTAAAGACGACAAGAGCAGAGGAGGAGGGGTCAAGTGGCAGGGGCGGTGACGAGGGGGGTACGGACTCGTACTCCCACCTGTTGCAGCTGCTACCGGAGCTGCTCCGGACGCTGACGCGCGCATGGACGCACTTGAGGCGAAACTAGACAACCTCACCAATATCCTCACCCACCTTGCTTCCCAGG